CATACGCGCAGCAGACCGCGGGTGGGAGCTACTCGAAGGCATGAAGGGCAACTGCATCTACTATGTGAGCGGCTGGTGGAGCTACAGCTTCTGCTACAAGGACGAAGTCAAGCAGTTCCACCAGCTGCCACAAAGTCGAGGTGTTCCCCATTATCCGCCTGTGGAGGACACCAGCGTACACAGCTTCGTATTGGGAAGGTACCCGAAGGAGGAGAAGAGCAAGAAAGCGGATGCTCGCAAGACACTAGGCAACGAAGAGGGCAGCAAGGAGGCTTTTGATGATGAGGACAAAACGACCGACGATGACGAGAAGGGCCTAGAGATCTCAAGACTAGAGACCAAGGGGTCTAGCAGATACATGGTACAGCGGCTGTCGGATGGTACTGAGTGCGACTTGACGGGCAAGCCGCGCAAGATCGATGTACAGGTATGTCCCGGCAGCGCCATTGTCCTCCAACACACAGTATTGACATCTCTTCCAGTTCCACTGCAACCCACAATCTGCCGACCGAATCGCCATGATCAAAGAAACAAGCACCTGCTCCTACCTCATGATTGTCGACACGCCCCGCCTCTGCCACGACGTTGCCTTCACCCCACCACAAGAGAACCTCGCACATCCTATAACCTGTGAACCCGTCATTCCAGAGTCTGAAGTGGACGCATGGACAGAAGCACAGCTATCCGCCAAGCTGGCCGCGGCCGAACGTCTCATCGCTGCCCACAACGCTGCCGACGACGCCAACACGAACCCGCTCCGCGATCTCGCCGACGGCCTCGAGGGCTCTACCAAGCGCATTGTCATTGGCGGCATTGAAGTCGGCGCAAAGTCGTTTGTGGGAAGCGAAGGCAAGGTGATTGAGAAATCCGTCGTTGTCGGCGGAGGTAAGGAGACATTTATCGGCACCGTAGCGAGTAGCGACGGCAAGCAGATGTCCAAGGAGGAGATGAAGAAGCTCAACATTGCCGATCCCAAGGATGTCGAGACCTTGAAAGCCAATCTGAGGAAGCTGGCTGGCAAGAAGGGATGGAAGCTGGACCTTGTAGATACACCAAGAGGCAGAGAGTTTAGGGGTATTATTGATACCGAAGATCAGGATACTGAGAAGACGAAGAAGAAGTCAACGAAGAACAAAGATGGCGATAGTGCGGGGATGGGCAAGGAGAAGGAACATGAGGTTGAACAGGGCGATGAGGATGAAGAGATGCAGGAGGGGAGTGAGGAGGTGTACAAGGATGAGCTTTGAAGCGCTTATGGTATAGTCATGACAATTTATTACGACTATAATGATTATGGCCTACATGTTGGTACAACTGAGATAAGAGTTTGTGCAGATCATTTTTAAAGTCTTTCTCAATGCTGACAGAGAGTGTTTGATAAACCTCTTCGGCCAGCTAGGCGTGTGCTCCCTGCTGATCGACAGCACAATGTCGGTGCTACTTTGGCCCACAACCCCAGGGTTTATCTTTGTCAGGACAACCATTTTCTATGTAGTTAGCAGTGAGCATGCCTTGTTCATTCGCCGCGCCCACGTGGAGGGGAACGCTTCCGCATCCTAAGAACCATTAGCCCCGATTTCATAACAGCGACAGAAGAGTCCAACTTACGTCCACATCCAAAATCTTTGAGTCGCTGGACCAACATTTTGACATCCCTGATGGCAATTGGTCTGTGTAAATTGTGGGCGATGATGCAATTGGCCGCATAACTGGTCTTTGTACAATGCGCGCACACAATCCCCTCGTTGTTCTTGTATTCCCAGTCGTCGTCTGCGAATAGTGCTCTCAGTAAAAGCATACTCGATAGGGAGGGGGCTGAGCGTGTGTTGCATGTACTTACCCATCAGTGCTAATGTCTCCTGAATCTGCCTGAGGCTCCCCTTGCAGATACGACATAGACTGCTACCTTTGCAATTGATACCCCAAGGGGCCTTAAGGGTATGTACGTTCTCGGATGTTCCGGGAGGAAGAAATGTATCGATGGGATTGTCGGCGTCGATAGTCTGGTCGGCAGGAAGGTCGGTATCGATAGTTTGGTCGACAGGAACATCTTCGTCAGTAGTCTCGTCGGCTGTAACGCTGGAAGCAACCTCATCGCGGGCAGCCTTGCGCTTGTAATCGCAGACACCCTCTTTGCAGCCAGACGTGACGTAGTTGACCGTGATCTCGCCAGTGTTAACGTCGTTTCCCGGCTTAGTAGGGCAGCTGCCACATCCTGGCAACGAGTCAGTATCGGAAGGTAGCGTAGGCCAAGGTACACTTACTACCGCATTTGTGATTGACTAGGTCATTGATCTTGCTCTTGATCAGGCTGCCATTGACCTTCTCGTCCGACTTGAGCTTCTGTGGGAAGGCACAGAGGCCGTCGCACTTGTCGGGATTGGAACATCCACTGCAAAGATTACAAGCGATCTGGTCGCCGTTGCCCCACTCTTCTTTGTCGTCTAGATGAAGGTTGTTAGCACAGCTCAGTGCGGCGAACTTCTTTTGTAGAACATACCAATAGTATCAATGTATGACTTGATCTTCGAGAGGCTAATGTCGCAAGTCGACAGCGTGCACATGGCGCTGCCGCGGCAGTTGATTCCGAGAAGCGCATCCATATCATTGGGGTCTTGGTCTCGGGGAGTGACGCCGTATGCGGAGTTGGGGTCTATAGAAGATTAGTTGGAGGCTTTTGCATAAGCTGGGACTGAGAGCTTGCGAGATGGGTGAGCGAGAACAGCTGCCGCCCGGACAAGGACAGTGGCCGTCACCGTTAGAAGCGTGGTCTTCATGTTGATGGCTGCTCAGTACTGGTGTAACTAGAGAAGAAGTCGACGTCCAGCTCTGATTTATCTCAGTGGAGAGATTGAAGAGGCACGGCGGGGGAGAGAAAACCCAGGAACTATATACTGCAAGGGGAGCGTGTTGGATCTGAGTGAAGGTGAAGGCAACAAGATCCAGGATCCAGCAACCACCCGGAGGAAGCTTAGACTGGATAGCGGTGGAGAAATGGGCACCGCTTGTGTAAAAGTGTGACGTTCACCGTATGCATTGCCGTATCAGACACGATAGTCTGTGCTTCTAACCCCTCGAAGCAAACGCAAGAACGTGCATGTGTCTTGGCAGCTCTCATTGGCGTCGCTCCAGATCTCGCAATACACACCAATATACTGAATCCACACGACTCGAGACCGTATGACCACCCCTCAGGTCCCATGTCTTCAACTGATCATAGTCCTATGCCACATCGCCAACAAGTGCTTCGACAGTTAATTTGTGTTGCCTTCTCCTTCCTTGAGCAGTCACGATCTTAACTTTGACACACTCTTAAATCCCCAATGACGTTATCTCGAGACCCTAACAAACGACTTGACGGGAAAGACCCTGGGACATAAGGAAATCGGGAAAGAGCGAAGAACGATGTAGTGAAACACTAAAATTGTAACCGCTCATCGTCATCGTACAAGCAGTCTGAAAGTTGCAGTATCTCCACAAGTTTGTCCCAACAATATGCTAAGCCTGCTATGTCCTGATAGAAGGTATATGTCACCGCATGCACTTTGGGCAAGACGTTGGCGAGGCAGATAAGGACTGCTCGTATCATAATCTAGACAAGATTTCACGAGAAAACGCGAGAAGAACGCATCGTTCATCTGGACAAGCTGAAGCAGAGTTGCGAACGAAGGGACAGTGAAAGCGTGCCCAGGTGGTCGAGTGAAGCACGTGGCAAGCGAACTCACTCGTTCCTTCCCTCAGCTGTTCTGACATCATCCTAGCCGCACTAAGCCAAAAATGATCGACTTCAGGTCCACGCAGCCTTCCGGGCTCAATTCCCCCCTCCTTCTAACCTAATTCAACAGCACTCGGACCGTTCGCGCAAGAACGCTCCTCACCGTGCGCACGGGCGATAGGGAACTGATGTCGGTGTGGGTCTAAAAGTGAGAGAAGGCTTGACAACGGTGGAGACCTCTTAATATAGATGGAGCCATGTTGTCTCTCCGTATGTTCCACCAACTTACCCCCGCAAAAGAGTCTACTCAACCCGCTGAGAGGTTTACCTCTACCTTATTCGTAGACCACGGACGCATCTCGTGCCAACATGAAATTCATCTTCGCCACCCTCATTGCCGTTTCGAGCCTGTTGGCTTGCACCGTGCGTTGCTTCCCACCACTTGCAGAGGTTCCTCGTAGGTATCATTGACTAACGGGACCAATAGAGCAACGCCACGGCCATTCCAGCAGACCAAGCCAGTGTTCAGACATCCGCCGATGGCATGACTATCGTGGAGTTAGAGGTGACCGATGACCGGTTCCCCGGTATCACCTTCAAGGGCACAGCGAAATCCATCCACGAGCAGATCCAGGCGATCAATCCTGGGGCTTCCTCCGACGTGAACGTAGAGAACGTCGTCGAAAAGCTCGGTATTGAGAAGCCATCAACTGTAAGCCTCTTTTACCCTTCTCTCGCTAACAACGCATTCTGATCTCATCATGAACAGTTCAATTGCGACTGGGGCACGGACGTCACTGGAGCTACTTCTTGTCATGACGGCTGGTTTTGGCTCCGAAAACTCAATGACCGCAAGTGCTGTGTCAACGGCGGATTCGAGCACTGCGCGATGATTAGCTGCTCATACACGTGCGGTCTCTTCTTGTGCAACAAGGTATGTATTCGTCGCCAAGCTCCTTGGCTTTTGGATCTTGGAGAGTTGTTCTGACTACTTATATTAGCGCGACACCATGTTCTGCGCTGCATGTTGGGATCTCGCCCGAGACATGAAGGCTATCTTGAATACTTGCAAGCCCCATATAAAGTATGTTCAACTTGCCTCTGGAGCGATGGACTTTGATGACCATTTCACTGGCGTTCAATACCACAAATGTTAGAGCATGGCTACCCTGCTTTCCATTGAAGGGCTTGAGGCGTTGGCGAAGATCTGGTAGTTCTATATAATCCGTGGATTAGATTGAGGAGGGTTTTGAGGATGTATCGCGATCTGCGGCTCCTCTGTTGCTTATCCATCCGATTCAAGATAGTGTAGCAGTAACTCTGGGTTCATCATGACCTTCTCCAACTTTGTCGACATCTCCTCGCGATTACCACCTCCACCCAATATCTTTCTGATAGCCGAAGAACTAACCTCTTCTCTCTTCTCATTACCCTCAATATCTCTTCCACTACCCAAAAACGTCACTGTACCCCCACTCTTCTTGTGGCAAACCCATGTCGCCCCCACTCCCTCATGACATCGTACCAGAATTTCATGTAGCAAACTGTCTTGCCTTGATCGGACATGTGGTTCGCCTTCCAAAGCAGCATGCCCACCGCAGTACTCTTGAATCCGTAAAGAGATACGACATTCATGATTCGCGCCTCCACATTCACAGCTGGAGTCTCCCTTCCTGCTGGTTGGTGTAGAGATCAAGCGCCAAGATCTACATCCAGGTAACCGTGTGGGCGGACGCTCTGGACCTTTGAACCATCTAGACGGCCGTGTGATGTCGCTGGTGATTATTTCTCCCCATGCTAAGAGCCAAGAGAGCTTTGTTTCTACTTCCTCGCGTTCGAATTTATCGCTTCCAGCTAGGACTACAAAGGAAACTTGAAATCCGTCTTTTTTCGCTTCTTCGATCAGGGTAGTCTCGTATGTTTGAAGTTTTGTGCGATGGCCTTTGTAAAACCAACTCCAGCGTTGCAGTAGGTCGTTTTGTAGTAGCGCGATTCTTTGTTCTTTCTCGGTGGCGAAGATCTTTCCATTGACTATAGCGCCGTCTTTCGCTTTGAGTCTATCGCGAAGTGGACAGAAGACGACGGCGATGGTGGTGGAGGCGCTACGTAGGAATGTGTGAAAGGCCAGTTCGAAGTGGCCAAGATGCGCTGGGTTGAACGAGCCGGTGTACATTATGATCTTGTTCTCGCGATTGCGATGGAGTACGGGCGCGTGCTCTGGTGAGGTGAAGTACGAGTCGGAAGGGGTTGGAAGCGATATGGACTTGGAGGCTAGGCGAATGTAGTGTTCCAATGGAGCGGTTGCTGATTCTGAGTACGGGCTGTGTACGTCGGTTGATTTACGCTGGGATGTACCCACAATCGACTCCTTGAGTGACGGGTCTCGTGACTCGCAACTAGGCTCGCGTTGTCTTTTGCGCGAGATCTGCGGTAGAGGGCGAAGTGACTGAGCAGCGTCAGAAGGACCTGGCGATGCGTCTTTCGCCGGTAGCTTCTCATCATGTCCGGGTACCGGTGTCTCATCTTTTCCTGCAGGATCTTCGTGGATGACAACATGCGAAAGCGCAACATTCGCTTCGCGCCTTTGGCGCTCCTTCCTCTTCTGGCTCACCTTGTCTTCTTCACATTGACGCATGGCGGTTATGATGAAAATTGGTGGGAGTGGAGGGTGCGGACGGGTCCCTTGCAAGATCAGCCGTTTGTATGACAACGAAAGTCCAACCGCGGTGAGCGGCCGATTGCTCGTTCCGGAGTCTGCGCACCACTGGCAAATTTTGATAGGAAATCTTTCAAAAACCAGTGGGAAGTCTTTCAAGCGAGCGCGATATGCTTTTAACGAAATAATCGTTCTTCTATAGACGTCAACATAGCACAACGAATGTCGGGTTACTTGCAGGGATAAGTTCGGCCCACGTTTGTACATTACCCTCCCACGGTTCAGTTTGATTGACCCGGATCACTCATAGGTCACGACTGGACCACCAGGCAACTCATCGAGCCATCCTTCAACCGGCTCCTTCACAGCCTGTGGTACCCCACACTTGGTCGACACATCGGCAGCCTGTGTCGTCAACCCCGTGCAGGTGTTACCAAAGCAGCGTTGGTCCATCGCTTTCTGCAGCGCACCCTCTTTCCAGCCAAAGACATAATCGCCGTGTTGACCGTAGCCAGTCCTACACATGGTTAGTGCTGTTCCCCCACAGTCGCTGCAGGTCACTCACGCATCACCCATGCTGTAGACAAACGGCTGCGATCCATCCTCAGGCCAGAGAGACGCGTCATTGAAAGGCGTAGTATCCCACATGACCTCATACATGAGTTGAGGCATCTTCACTGGATGAGTCGATGGGCAGGGACCGCCAGATTCGAAGGATCCAGTTGTAGGGTACGCGACATGGTCTTTGTGGTTCGGAGAATCGACGTTCTTGCCATCCCAGCATCTATATTCAAGATTAGCGATACGCGCAAAGCCAGGTAAATGGAGTCCACAAACGTTGGGAATGTAATAGTCGTCCGGATTCCACCTCCACACATGCCCGGTGGCAAGCTCGCTGTGTCAAATTCTCCGATACATGGGGCCCCACCAAAAGGATCTTGCTGTTTGTTCGTGAAACAGCGATGGCAGAGCTGTTTCTGCTGACCCTCCTTAGCTCTCAAGCCTGGATCACCGACCAACATCCTGAAACCCTTGGGGAACGCGGTCACCGTACTCTTCCCGTCGTATGGCGGAATGTAGTACACCGTAACGCCTTCTCTGCCTTGTAGACCCAAGTTGACCATCTGTGGGACGCGTTGGAAGGTGCCGTTACGCGCTTTGAAGTAGAGATTCGCGGTCCAATAGTTTGAAAGGTCTTCGGCAAAATCGCAGGTTGTGCAAGTGGCTTCCGTGCTGGGGTCGAGGTCGAGCGGTGGCATGGAGACATTGAAGGCGTTTCCGCCGACGATCTGGTCTAAACAATGACATGCAAATTTAGTATACGTACTGTATCAAGGTAGTATATGGGCATCGCTTACGCATGTGTGCTGAAGGTGCAATGCCGGGTTGGACAAGTGGGTCGATACGGTCGTAGACTAGTTGAGAGCACTGGAAACGTAGCATCGCCGCTGTTGCAAACTGTCGGGCCTTGAGGTCGTGAGTCGGCGATGCTGCGACATTGTGGAACAAAGAGGTGAGCGTGAGCGTGAGCGAGGACCAGTACATGCTGACGATCAAGTGGTCTGACAACGAGAAAATGGAATGTAGATGTTGGGAATCAGGGAACGTGCTGTTGTGGCACATGAGTCTCATAATATATCATGAATGACGTTCGAAGCAAGTCTCCACATGGAACTCACCCCACATCATGTTCACGGCTCGCCATGTCGGGTAGTTTCATCGAAGGATCCTTTCCTATAGAAGGTTCTAAAGTCAACTGCCGTATATGCTCCTGTTGATTGCTTGTATAAATATGTGGGTTGACCAATCGGATCCTAGCAAGTATCCTGGGCGGTTACCGACAAAGTGAGCATGCAACAAGGGTGAATCAGTCGGTGGCCAGTAGAAACTTGAGTTTCCTCATGGCCTGGGCATGGATTGCGGAATGCATGGGGCCCACGAGGTTGTGCTCCTGGATTGCTGGGATGACGTAGTGGCGAGCGGTGCCCCTGGGTGGGTGTCGTAGGATGCCGGTCTTGAAGAGGATGCCGAGACGCATTATCCCGCACGCAACGCAGAGTGTTGTATTGACGGAGTGGTTCCAGGTTCTCGAATCAGCGTCCAATTGAACCAGAACGGGATGAATGCATTAGTATCTGAGACTGGATTGGCGATGGAGCTCAAAATCAAAGTAGCCTAGGATGATAACTGGGTATTGAATTGACAAAGAGAATCCCATTGGGTTGTATGTACATGTCAGTTGAGTTTGCATACAATTTACCAGCCCTCACCGGGCTTCCTTGCCTATACACTGTTAGCAATAGTCCACACCGAACCATAATGCACTTACCAGCAATGCACCCTTTCCACCCAGCTCAGCCTCCAGACCATCTGGGTAAGTCTTGGGCGCACTAAGCTTGTCGGGGTAGAAGGTACCAACAGCCGCGCAGAGTCCGAAGACAGAAGCGACGAAGGTGCCCAGTAGGACGAAGCCCCATTGGGGGGTGAAGTGGTTGTAGTCGTGGAGCGCTAGTACACCCATGATATCGTTGTCCTCGTGGCAGGGCTCGCCATAGTTGCGGCGTTCTTGCTTGTCCCAGTAGTCGCCGTACGGGTCGCGGTTTCCTCGCTTCTCAGCGGGAGGGTTGATGTAGCCGCCGTTCTGTCACCATCAGCACTAGGTCCTTCCTGCCTTCTCTAGATAAAGTGGGCGTACTTGGTTCGGGTCTGTGAGCTCAGCGTGGGCCTTCTCAGCGTCGGTGAGGGCGGTTCGGATTTGGGTGAATTGGGGTCGTGGCCGGGCTACGGCGGGGACGACGGCTCGAGCCAGCGGGCGTGCCGCTACAATGCGCCTGGGGAACATGCTAGAGCCGAGTGAGTATTTGCGCGATGCGTGTCTTCGGTGTCTTCGTACGTTGTGGCGCAATTGCGGGGGTTGGATGGGTTGCAGTATTGCTGTGTCGTTCGCGATGAGCTCAGTTGCGGCCCCGGTAATGCTTGGCGGAGAAGTGGGTCTAACTGCTCTGCGTAGTACCACGACCGGTCATGGATGTGACACGAAAGGCGTCTACGCGACTGAGCAACCCGACGCCTGCCTGAAAGAATCTGCGGAGGTTTTAGACAGCCTCAGTCACAGCATTCTCAGACGTGATATCCACCATTCCGCCGTCGTTCACGTCAAAGGGATGGCATGCGCGCCCGTGCCGGTATTTAGCGTGATCCCTACCAAACATTATCGCCGGCTCTGTTTTTACCATCTCACAACTTCGACATAACACCGCATCATCCCAACGCGAGCCCGAATTTGAAATCCGACCCCATCACTGTCACCAGCACGCGTCAGGCTATCTTGCGACTCCGAATTCGAGCTGATATATGTCGATTTGGCCGCGCGCCGGGTGGTCAACAGGCTCCCCAGGCCGCCTCTCTCGCCCTTCCTGAATGGAAGAAGTTACCGCCGCGGATCGCGACATCGACTCCATCCCACCACGCGACTCGGCCGCCGCACACAACCCATCCGACATCACACACAATGGCGAACAGAGCGAGAACGACAGCGCACCTGTTATCAAGGAGGAACATCCGCCGGCACCTGTAAATGGCGATGATGGTGGCGTCATTGAGCGTCCGCCAAAACGGCGGAAACTCGAAGACACCACACCGCGCCGCTCAGCGTCACGCGCCGCATCGCCGCCCTGGAAGTCATTCGTGGCTGATGGACCGACGACAGTCTTCGAGAATGGCGTCAGGAAATCATCACGTGTGAGCAAGGATGCTGCACCGCCAACGCCGGAACCTGTAAAGCGGAATTCTCGCCCGGCCAGCAAGGCGACGCAGACCAACGGCACCCCTAAGAACGGCGTCAAGCGAGAGTCGCGCAATGGCCCAGGACCCATGTCTGTCTCGAAAGGGAAGACGCCATCCACCATCACCAAAAAGGTGTCCGCACAGTCTCTGGCAACGCCGGCGCGCAAGTCTGAGCGCCAGAGAAAGCCTCCAGCACTTGCGACAACGTCGCCCGTCACGTCGCCAGCACTGCAGAATGGGTCGCCCGAAGGCACGCGCAAGCGGGTCGGGCGCTCTCGGAGGGGAGCGCAGCCACTTACCGATGATCTAGGTGACGAGCCCATGGACGATGCCGAAACGAACGGACACGACCCCTACGCCGGCCTGTATGGATCGCCCGACGACTCGAACCCATCTATGCCTGCCCCTCGTCTCCGCCTGCGACTGCGAAAGCCCGACCCTCCCAACCGCCATCCCCACCATGCCCCGCCCAAGTCAGAGTACGCGTCGCTCGAAGAGTGGCTAGGACAAGACGACCCGTTAGACGGCGAAGAGGCGCTTCGGATCACACAGGAAAAGGCCGAGGAAGAGGCCGAGCGCCGGCTGCAGATTGTCGAGGCTGCTGAACATGGAGTTCTAAGCCAGGCACGATGCAGCGTATATGCGCCTGAAGCAGCCCCAGAGCCACCGCCACAATACGGACATTGGGACCACGTTGTCGCTCATGCCCTGCACTTCAACAAGCTATTGAAGGAGGAGAAGGCATTCCATCGGCGGACGGCCAAGATCTTGGCCAGAGAAGCATACGACTTCTGGAAGAACAAGTTCAAGCGCAAGAGCCAAGATGAGATCGAACAGGAAGAGACCGAGCGGCAAGTGACGAGATACAAGCAGCTCGTGAAGGATGTCAAGGACGCATGGGGCTTGGTCAGGGTTGAGATCGACAAGGAGCGTGTGGCTAAATATGAGGAGGAACAGTTGCAGCTCGGACACAAGGCCATGGACGACATGTTTAATCAAGCGCAAGAGATTCTGGGTGGTCGTAACGCGGGCGACGGGGCCTCCTCCTTGGTCAGCGAAGACCGAGATTTCGATGAGATGGAATCCGAAAGCGGGGTGTCGCATGCCTCACAACAACAGCACGACGACGATGTCATGTCTTCCAGCTCCGATAGCGAACAAGAGAACGAGCAGGACGAAGATGCGAACCTCACGGCCGAACAACTACGCGAGAAGTACGGACAACTTCCCGATCTCCCCGAGAGCAGCTCCGAGGCGGAAGTCAACTCAAACGACGGCGAAGACGATGACGACGCCGATTCCGAAGAGGGCACTCCTGCGCCAACACCCGATCCCGACCTCGATGTCGACAACACGAACGAGCTTCCAGAGAACCCATTTCAACAGACGAACGGCTTTCACGACCACGAAGAAGATGGGGATAAACAGAAGCCAGACTATATCGATCCTGCTACAGTGGAGCTCGATCAGGTCGATGATGCTTTGCTCGATTCTGAGGACGACAAGGGCTCGGAGTCTGGTAGTGAAGCTTGGTCGAGCAACGAAGGTTCGGATAGCGAGGGTGATGGTCATGAAGAAGCCGGCTTGGAAGAAGACGACGAGGATGAGAGTGAGGGAGAAGACTTAGGCATGATGGGTTTCTTGGCACCTAAAGACATCAAGAAACTGAAAGAGGCCGCCAAGACCGCGATTGACGATGTGGAACCGGAAGACCCGACAACTCAGCCCGAACAAACGAATGGCCATGCTACATCGCCCGCGGAAGTCTACGAGGAGAAGCCACATGTGAATGGTCATGATTCTGTCGCTGAAGTAGACGAGCCACATGTGAACGGGCATTCTGAAACAGAACCTGCTCCTACCGTCGAGGCAGCTGAGCCAACTCCGATGGAAGATGTAGTACATTCTAAAAGCGCTTCTCGATCACGGCATACATCATCCCCACCAAGGACCGAGGTGCCATCCTTACTACGCGGTACCCTCCGAGAGTACCAGCACGATGGTTTGGACTGGCTGGCGAACTTGTACGAATCCGAGACAAACGGAATCCTCGCAGACGAGATGGGTCTGGGCAAGACTATACAGACCATCTCACTTCTCGCCTACCTCGCTGTTCGTCGCGAGATATGGGGACCACATCTAGTCGTCGTACCCACCAGTGTCATGCTCAATTGGGAGATGGAGTTCAAGAAATTCTTGCCAGGCTTCAAGATTCTGACATACTATGGCGACATCAATGAGCGAAAACGAAAGCGCATGGGCTGGCGCAACACTGGCAAGGACATGTACAACGTCGTCATTACCTCCTACCAGCTCATCCTCCAAGACGCAGCAGCCTTCAAGATGCGTCCCTGGCGTTACCTGGTCCTCGATGAAGCCCACAACATCAAAAACTTCAAGTCCCAACGATGGCAGACTATGCTTAATCTTAGAACAGAGCGACGGTTGTTACTGACTGGTACGCCTCTACAAAACAACATCGATGAGCTTTGGTCGCTGCTCTACTTCTTAATGCCAGCTGGCTTTGCCGGGGAAGGTCGCATCGCGGGACTGGAGGAGTTTACCTTGGCTCTCAAGAATCCTACTTCGCAGATTCTCGATCAAGGTCGGCAGCAGCTTGATGCGGAAGCGCAGAAGGTTGTCAAGCGGCTTCACGAAGTCCTTCGCCCCTACTTGCTTCGAAGGCTGAAATCAGAGGTTGAGAAGCAAATGCCAGGGAAGTATGAGCACGTGGTCTACTGCAAGCTTTCCAAGCGGCAACGGCAGCTCTACGATGGGTTCATGGGCCGCGCCTCGACCAAGGAGATCCTGTCCTCCGGCAACTACATGTCGATTATCAATTGCTTAATGTCATTACGAAAAGTCTGCAATCACCCCGACCTGTTCGAAACACGAGCCATTGTAACGTCCATGGCCATGCCCAAGTCAGTCGCTGCTCAGTACGAGATCAAGGACCTTCTCATCAGGAAGCGACTGCAAGAGGGCATGGAAGATAAGCAAGTAAATCTAGACGCCTTGAACTTGGTGTTTGCGCGACGGGAACAGACGCAGTTGGGTCATGCTAGACGCACCTACCCTATCCGCGCCACACGACCCCTGGAGGATCTGATCGAGCGCCAAACACGGCGCATCAACAAGCCCATCGACAAGGGCACTTCTTCACTACAAGCGACTATGGCAGCGATGGCGAAGCGAGAGCAAGTGGCCGTTCGAGACCATTTGCAAACATGTCTTAACCTTACTCGCGCGCGCACCCAGTTTATGCCGATTTACGGAAAGGACATCATTGACGCACTGACCGTCGATTGGCACGATTTTACATTTGGGGCTATCACTGAAGGGAAGAGAGTGGCTAAGCCTCTCCTCTACCGAACCCATCACACTCCACATCCCAACTACCACGGCTTCGGTCAGGCTCAAATGCAACCAAGACAAGAGGAAACGATTCACTATGACATCGTTCAACGTCATCATGGTCTACTCGGATTCAGGTCACCGCGCTCTCATTGTGTCTTGTCGCATTGGCACGATCAACAAATTACCCATTTCTATGATATGATTCCAACATTGGAGCAGCGTGCTGAGGCTATGGAGCCTCTCATTACCCGCTTCACATGCGTTACGCCTGCCGTTGCGGCCGAGGAATTAGCACCTCTGACCCTATCCAGGCGCGGTGTCCAGCTGATTCGATCGTCGGAGGCAGCACACGAAAAAGACCCCTTCCATTCTTCGCGCATCCGACAATCGATCGCCTTCCCGGACAAGCGTCTCCTTCAATACGACTGTGGCAAGCTTCAGCGTCTTGCAACACTCCTTCGAGATCTACAGGCTGGTGGCCACCGTGCGCTCATCTTCACCCAGATGACAAAGGTTCTAGACATTCTCGAGCAATTCTTGAACATTCATGGATATCGCTACCTGCGCCTTGACGGGTCTACCAAGATCGAGCAGCGCCAGATTCTTACCGATCGCTTCAACAGTGACCCCCGCATCTTATGCTTCATCCTGTCATCTCGATCTGGTGGTCTCGGTATCAATCTCACAGGTGCTGACAGCGTCATCTTCTACGACCTTGATTGGAACCCCGCGATGGACAAGCAGTGTCAAGATCGAGCTCATCGTATCGGTCAGACGCGCGATGTGCACATCTACAAGTTCGTCAGCGAATACACCATCGAAGCCAACATCCTCCGCAAGTCGAACCAGAAACGTCTCCTCGACGACGTCATTATCCAAAAGGGTGACTTCACCACAGACACCTTCAACAAAGTCACCTGGCGCGATGCACTCGACGAGAACCTGGGAATCGACACCAATGACGAAGCAGGTGCAGCCATGGAACGTGTGCTCGGCGAGAAGATTGGACTCCTGGGTGACGCACGTGTCATGGGCACAGTGGAAGACACTGAGGATCGCACGGCAGCTTCCATCGCACAGAAGGAGATTGTGGACGAGATTCAAGAAGACCAAGTCGACTTCAACGAGAGTCTGAACGCTACGAGAGCCGCCTCGGAAGCCGCTGCTGCCGCCAAAGCGAACGAAGACCTCGATCTCGACGGCAACGAGAAGGAGCGGAGGCACGTCGACGAGTACATGCTTAGCCTGTACCGAGAAGAGTACGGCAAAGAACCGTACCGGCCGCCAACGGACCGGCAGAAGAGGAACCGAAAGGGACAGGATCCTCATGTGCGGCACAGAAAGAAGAAATACTAGTAATACGCAATTCTTTCTATTGAGCGACTTTGGGGTTTAGCGAGCGTGTTGGAAAAGGGAAAAATTATGTATTAGTAGTTGTACAATCGTAGAAAGAGCGAGTAGCATTTGCATGGTCTGGCGTTTTCTCCAATAGGGAGAAAGAGAAATGAGATTAGTGTACCATCATACTGGAGACGTGTCGTGATTTTAGTGATACCTGATGCGCGAGTTCGCTGACCATGTTGCCAGCATCGATAATGGAGTCACGTAACCGAAGCTTCGAAAATGCTCCTTCAGTGGCTTCGCGATCTCAGACAAGAGAAAAAGCTCATGCTGTGTAAGGACCGCTGCGGATATCTAATAGTGTAATTCAAAGCCCGGCAGTCAGAGTGGACCTTGGGGACTACGTCAGTCCAGACAGTGACTAAGTTTCAACCGTCGGCGACATGTATACTCCAAAGCGAAAAACAGACGGTGATCTCTAGTCAACCCGGGTCGTCACCGCCTACTGGACCCTGTCCGTTGCTCCTGCCTTTCCAGCTCACTGCCAAGACCGCGCTACTAGGCCCAGTACTTTTCACCATCACCGTCACATCAATCTGATTTACCCAAACACCTGTCACGACTGTGGCCAGATACCACGACAACCACAAGCGTTCGCGATGGCGACTCCAGAGAAGACAGAAGAGCCCCCAAAGGTCACTCCGTTGCTCGAGCTGGCCAAATGCTCCAAAGCTACTCCCTCACCTAACCCGTAAGTACAAACAACGCTGTATACAAGAAAGCTACTTACACTTCAAATAGGGACAAGTGTGGTCCCATCATCACCATTGTGGTCGGTTCCGCCAAGAAAATACGCGAATTCCACGTCTACGAAGGCCTTCTCTCTCACTATTCCTCCTACTTCAAAGCTGCTCTGAAGGGCGCTTGGAAGGAAGGTGCTCTCAAAACTGTCGAACTGAAGGACGATAACCCGGAGGTCTTCAAGGCGTTCTTCCACTGGATCAACACGGGAAAGCTCTACTTCGCGCCCAACGCTTCGGGAGAGATTCCTCTGAGTGAGAAGCTCATTTGCGAGATCTACGTCTTTGGCGACGCACGCGGATGTCCTGATCTTTGCAATGCTGCGATCGACCTACTTCTTCAAAAGATGCATGAGGCATGGAGAACTGCGCTCGCCGAACTTCCCTTTGTGTACGAAAATACCCTTCGCGGATCAGCTCTTCGGAAATGTCTTGTAGATGACTTCGTCGATAACTTTCGCTTCCCGAATCTAACGGACGTCATTCAACGAGACGCTGAGTTGTCACGATATCCCCAGGAATTTCTTGCCGAGATTGTCGTAGCATTCATGGCTCTTGGATCGACTCCCATTCCGTCAGCTGCAGGGTGGGGAAATCTGCCTTACAGCAAGAACAACTGGGTCACGCACATCAAACCTTTGATATGTTCAAGATATCACGATCACCCAGCACCTCCGGCTTGATCGCGTTGACGACGGTAGATGCTCTATGCGCGCGGTAGATCGGTTTGGAGGATACGTGATCGCTTTTGTCTCATAACACAATGGGATAATGACGCTGGACAACTACGGGAGGGCGGCTCCACGACGCAAGCTTGGATCACCAGGATCTTGATAGTTGGATGAATGGAAACTTATTGCCCACTCCCTGCGGTGATCATCTCGATGAGAGAAACGTGACGTCTATTTCGCACCTCCTCTATTATATTTCCTATTATCTCTCTCTGACTCAGTCGCCGCAGGCAAACAGCGGGTGCCGCCGTCTGCAGCCCGGTATATATGGTCCCCTGTAGCGAAAATCTCGACCGCACCCAAATCTGCACGTTATAATGCAGATTGACAGCCTAAAACTTCACATACGACCATAGGATCCTGACGACCAGCGCTTCCCGTTCGCTCAGCGGTACTTAAGCAGGATACCGGCGGATTAGTACCTGGGTGGGTGACCACCAGGGACCACCCGCTGTTGTATGTTTTTGCCTATTTTCTCCTCTTTTTTTTGCCATCATCATGTACTCTGGAGAAACGTCAAAAGAAGGCATGTAAAGTTTTTTGGGGGTTGCAGAGCTTGTGGTTGGAAGATCGATGTGTTTCGATACCTAGACTAGCTGGACGGCGAGATCCCTTCACTCCCACTCTCGACCGCCTCTTCCTGATCTCTATCGCCAACGTCATCCTCGTCTCTATCCGCTGTGTCGGCGTTCTCCTCTCGTTCCAAGTATGGCGGCGGTGCAAGTTCTTCACTCTCGGCCTCACCCTCCTCATCTTTCCCTTCTACCCACACCCTGTTCAACTCTGCCTCGATTTCCTCTCGTCTCTTCTTCCACTCCTCCACCTTTGCCAGCCTCTCTCTCAGCTCTGATAACTCTTTCTCGACGCTCGACTTCTCTGACTGTGTGCCTATGCGTTGGAAGTCCCACTCGTCGCCGCGGTCGCCCATGCCGAGCGTTAGTGTGTAATCGTGGTAGCGCTTTAGGGATGCGCGCGTTGATATCGTGATCAATGCTGGAGTGTGTGAGTCAATTGAAGTCATCATGACAAGGGCAGCGGGATACTTACTAATGCCCTTGGCTTTCGCGCGTTCGTAGAGTAGGCCTTCCACATCGCTACTGACTGCACTGGTGCCCTCGTCTACGAATGCGTACCGGGGTTCATGATATAGCAGTCTCGCAATGCCCATTCTCTGCTTTTCTCCACCGCTGAAGACGTCTTTCCATACTTTCTTCGTGTCCCAGCCGCCTTCTCTATCGGGCAAGTAGCCCAGTTTGGCTTCTTCGAGGACCTGGGAAAGTTCAAAGTCGCGACGTCCTGCATCTTTCATATCGGCATCGGTGTGAGGATAGATGACTTGGTCGCGGAGGGTGCCGGTGGAGAGGTAAGGTCGTTGAGGAAGGAACATAATACCGTCTACGCCGATGCTGCGAGGACGACTCACAAGACCGCGGTATGCGGGCCAGAGACCGGCGACGATGCGCGAAACTGCGCTCTTGCCGCAGCCATTAGGTCCGGTTATGAGAAGATGCTCGCCGGAGTGAACGATGAACGATAAGGATTCTAGGAGTTCTTCGCCGCCCATGGGGTGCAGGGCTGGGGCGACGACTGGAACGTGTTCGAGGCGGATTCCATCAAAGCCCTTGTGGACTGTGCCTTGGATGTCGGAGACGGAATAGAGTTCTGGTCGCGTGCCGGGTGGAGGGTAGTATGCTTCTGCGTGGACGCGATGGAGAGTGCTGATCAGGGTGTAGACGCGTGATGTGTAACCAGCCAGCTCAGAAAGATCCTTGATGCTATACATCATGCGACCACCAGCATCGGCAAGCGACAGCATGAGTCGCTTGTTCGTGATAAAGTCCTTCATACGGCTTCTCTCGCGGTGTGATTTCTCTCCTCCAGGTAGCTCAGGTGTGCCTCCCACGCCACCCCATTCGGGTAAGAAAACTGGGAGCGAAGTAACCAGGTAACCGAAGGCCGACCATGAGTACTTCAGCACGAAGTCTTCAAGCATGTTGTACCGGATCTTGAGGCTGTAGATGCCCTCCATCCAGTGCTTGAGGTCCTTGAATCCTCGCTCGAGGAAGTGCTTTTCCATCTCGTCGCCGCCGTAGAAAGCCACTTCCTCGGCATTTGCAATGAGTCGAGAGTGCAGAGCGCGGAACTCGCCTTCTCTTCGTCCTTCGACAGCTTTGAGTTTGCCAAAGGGCGGAGACAGTTTTCGCAGTACTGTCGCGGTAAGGAAGTAGTTGCTCAGCAGTCCGGTAAGCGCTAACGGTCCTAGAGAGCGGTAGAGCTGGTAGTTGAACACGCAAAGGTCCACAAACGGCTTTCCTAAGCTCGAGTACAAGGATGCCGCACTCGCACAGAATAGCGTCAGATCTTGTGTGATGTATTGGTCGGCCCCAACGCCTACACCTCCGTCTAGATTCTGTAGCTTGTAGTAGTTCAGATGGTCGTTCAGGTACAAGTCGTGGATGTACCGCGTGAGTCGCGTTCGGAACGCGATGGAGACTTTACTCTGCAGGAACTTGATCATAGCGTTCGTGTATGAAGAGAAAGTGCCGACACCAAGCCATTTGACTACGCCCCACAGGAATGCCTTGCCGTTGCCTGCTACAAGGTCGCGCACGATCTCTCCGTCGAGGCGCGCTACGACGAGTGACAGGTACGTCCGCAGCATGAGGAAGACGCTATGGCTGACCAGCAGACCCGTCTCTTTGCTATTCCAACGCGGTATCATGATATTTAGAAGGCTCAGAAACTGGTGTAGGAAGGCCAAGTTGAGACCCGGCTTCGTCTGTGGCGGCGGCGCTTGCGGGTCGCTCGAGGTCGTGTCAGCCATGCGGGCTGCGCGGGGCGGCTGGAGGAAGAGTCTGCGATGCGCATCGAATGTGGTTTGCTTGGTGGGATGGATGACCACCTTGGACGTCGAGTCGCGGTAGGGCACGTAAATGGTCCTGGAGCCATCTTTGTTCCTGAGTCCGGAGTTCCTCCTCAGCAACCGTCGGCCGGTCTCCTTCTCTGCGCGCCGGCTCTTGTACCATCTCGTGCCTCCATATCCGGTGCCTATAATGGTGAAGAGGAGGGTGATGGTGGATAGCAGCTTCGTGAGCTTGGATGCGCCGCGGACGCGGGACTTGAGGAGCGTCGCATAGCGGTCGTAGAGTGCTAGGAGTGGGTCATGAGGCTGTCGTAAGGTAGACTGAGCGGCCATTGTTGACCGTGGACATCCTCTCTGGGAAGACTGTCATTTCTCGCAACGGCGGTGCTGGAGGTTGGAGATGGTGTACCTGGCATGTGAGCCAGTGCTATGATGCTTGCTGCGGTTTGAGCCGAGGCATGTGAAGGGGCACGTGCACTGGGGAAATCCGGGGTGGCTCCACAACAGCTCGACAACCACCGCCGCAGAGCAGGCTACTGTTGTCTGAATATCCGCGCATCGACGAGATATGTTTCCTACAGCTACTAAGAATATAAGACTGAAGCACTTTTGAATTAACATTACTAGGTCATAAGCTCGACTACCACCCGCCACGGGAAGCCGTGGTTATTAAACAGCAGCAAAATGCCTCCAATGCACCCCCAATTCCTTTCCTAATCATCGATCCTTCCCATTAGCTCAAGCCGTCGCAGATTCTTTGTGTTCAATCTGCTTCATTATCATACACAGTTGGCTCTTCAGCCAGCCTCCTAGAAATTCATACAGGTGCCCCGCCTGCTCGCAAGTATCGCCATTACCTCCCCAATTAGCCAGTGCCTCAACGAGTTGCGCACATCCTCGCAACTCATTGAGGATTATCTGTCTTCTATGTCTCTCTTGCTCACCGTCGTCAAATTTGTACTGGGTGAATGGAGATGACTGCATATACAGGTTGTAATTTTCCGCGTCCCCAATGCTCGTCACAGACGAAGGGGAGAAAACGGTCTGCGAGAAAGGAAGAGGCTGACAGTAGTTCCAAGAAAGCGATGTCGAGACTGGGTAGCTCGTACGGGGTCCGCGACTAACGCTAGCAGCGGTTTGATACCAGGCCAAAATCTTTGATGTTATGCTAGAGTATAGCATAGCAAGATGTGGGTCTGACGAGCATGAACACCTGAGAAGCCGCAAGATGTTCTCTCGTGCTGACCGGACAGTATGAAGAACGGCATCGAATGAATCCCTTGACTGGCCCGGGTATGTGACGTGTGGCAGGCTCTCGAGCGTCGAATAGGCCAGCGCATAGCAACTATGGCAGTTGTCTGTCGCGACCTCGGCGTGTGATGTCATATTCTCATGACCCCCTACGGTTTGGCTTATTGGACTATACGGAAAAGATATAGAGGAGGCCGAACGTAGATTCTCTACGGTCTTTGCACCGCTAGAGTGATAGTCCATGGGGTTTGCGTCATCGCTGCTGATGTAGTCGTTGAGAATCTCCCAGGTAGGATACTGAGACTGTACTGTCTGTTCTTGAGTGAAAGGATCTTGAAAGAACTGGTCTGTCCCAGTGGCTGATACAGGCTCCGGCTGAACATGTTGTCTCGACAGGACGTCAGTGTCCATATAGGTGGTATCTTGAAGGATTTCATTCGGGTATGGTGGTTCAGGTGCAGTCTCGGAGTCGAAACCTGAAGGAGTGGATAAGCTTGGTGTAGGTGACCAGTCTGAAGGCCAATTCGACGTGACTTCCGAATCGGTCCGTCGAACGGAAGGAGTGTGTAGCATGAATGTGCCGAACTCATTGCCACTTGGTGATGGGCGTTGCCTTGTAACTTTGACAAACGGAGACCCATCTGGATTCCTCTTCCTCACCCGGCCCGGCTTTCCGTGTTTTCTCGAGACGCCGTATACACATTTCGTGCGGGTTTGGAGGCAGCGCACACAGTCTGGATGCTCTTTGCTGCACTTGACTTTCGACGCGGCACAGGCGTCGCATGAAGCCCGGAGTTTTAGATTCCCGTCTCGTCGAGGTGTAAATGGTTTGGGTGCT